ATCCCTTCTCCATTCTCCTCTCGGGATCTTGGGCACGCACGCACACGTGCCCGGCGTGAGTTTTAAGCCACCGTGTCCAGGACATGAACCGTGGTCGACTACGTGGGAGTCCAGCGACATAGCCATTACGCTAACTGCTGGTTCCCAGTCTTCCAGAGTTTTGTTGAAGTCCTACTTATTGACTTTTTTTCTGATGGATAATGGTTTAGGTAACAAGGCTTTTTGTCCAGTCCTCGGTCCCAAAGATTGCTCCATGTGTTCTAAAGGCCTTCCACTCCCATAGAGTACAGTTTAATCAACTCTAAGACAGCTGATGCAGGCTGTGGGTTTAGGTTGAGGGTCCTTCTTTGCCTATGATGTCCAGTTGCTCCATAGCCATTTGCAGAAAGGCTTTTTGGCTGGCCTTGTGTGGGTCTATATCTGACACCCCTTTTCTGTCCCACTGTGTGTCTATCCTTCTACCAGCAACATGTTATCTGGATTTCTGTGCTACAAAGTAAGCTTTAAAGCCAGGGGGAACAACCTCTTCCTTTTTCTTTAAGGATATATATATTTTTTAATGGTGTAAAAAAGTGTATTTGGCATTAGCCAGCTGGACTCAGTTTAGATTATTCCAATTTTGTTGGCAACATCCAAAGCATCCTAATCGGGAGCCAGTCGCACATCTGCCTTCTTCTCCCCATCAGGCCTGGTTAGAGTGTTGACCCTGGCCACATCAATATCAGAGAGCTTCTTCACAGTCTGTTTGATTTGGTGCTTGTTGGCCTTGACGTCCACAATGAACACAGTGTGTTGTTGTCTTCTATCTTCTTCATGGCAGACTTGGTGGTCAGGGAGAACTTGATGATGGCATAGTGGTCAAGCTTGTTTCTCCTGGGAGCACTCTTGTGAGGATATTTAGGCTGCCTCTGCAGCCGAAGAGTCTTGGGCCCCTGAAAGGTGGGTGATGTACGGATCTTTTTTTTGTGGCTTTGGATGCCTTTCAGCACTGCCTTCTTGGCCTTCAAAGTCTTTGTTTTAGCTTCAGCTTTGGGAGGGGCAGGAGCTTCCTTCTTCGCTTTTGGTGCCATCTTGGCGAAAAGCTTTAAGGGTTCGAACAGTGTACACTGCCCCAGGGAAGATGGCTATGCCACAATCCTTTTTCCTCCAAGAATTCTGGAGATACATACACACATTTGCCCAGCGTGAGTTTCAAGCCTCTGGATCAAGGACTCAAATCGTCATTGGCCATGTGGGAATCCAGCACCTTAACCACCACACCACCTACTGGCCTCCAGAGTTACTGTTTTGTTTGTTTGTTTTTTAATTTGTTTTTGCTAGAGGGCATGTGCACTAACCAAAGAAAAAGGGGCTGAGGGGACAGAGGGAGAGTGAGAGAGCACCCCCTGTGAAGGATGGTCACGCTGCAATCCCTTCTCCATTTCTCCTTTCAGAATTTTGTGTACACGTGCCCAACACATTTTGCAAGCTGCCAAGTCCAGGACCTGAAGCACTGGCCAGCCATGTGGGATCCAGTCCTCTTAACCATCACACCACCAGTTGGCCCATTATTCTTTTGTTACAAAAGAATTTTAAGCCACTCTAGTTCTTTTGCCTTTCCAAATAAATTTTACAATAAGCTTGCCTGTATTACCTTGTTTTGGTAGGAACTGTATTAAACTTATAGATCAATATATGGAGAATGGGCATCTTTACCATTTTGGATCCTTCCACTCATGGGCACTAATGTCTCTCCATTTTTTTTAGATCTTCTCTGATTTTTTTTATCATGTATAGTTTTATAGTTTCACCATACAAGTCCTATACACAGTTGTTAGATTATACTTACATGTTCTTTTTTAACAAAACAGTGATTCTATATGATGATGTTTTAAATTGTTTCCTTATGTATTTGCTAGTAAACTGGAAAACAATAAAATTTTATGTATTGGTCTTGTATCCTGTGACCTTACTGAACTCATAGTTCTAAGAAATTTCATAGATTATATGAGATTTCCTGCATAATCATGTCATCTGTAAATAGGAACAAGTTTATTTTTCTCTTTCCAGTATTTATAACTTCTACTTCCTTTTCTTGCCTAAAGGTAGCTGGGGCTTCCAGTAAACAGATGTGAAGAGAGGACATTCCAAAAAAAACTTTGTTCCTGATTTTAGGGGGAACATTCAGCTTTCACAATTAAGGACATTAGGGTCAGCCAGTGGCCTGGTAGTTAAGGGAGGTGGACCCACATGGGTGACCATATGGTTCAAGTCTTGGGCCCAGCAGCTTGAAAAATGCAACCAGAATATGTATATGTACATTCCTAAAATCCCTAAAGAAAGGACCATTTCCCATGGGAAAAATGTTTTCTCCCTCACTTTTCTCTCTCTCTCTGGAAAGTACATTTACTCTCTTCCAATTAGAAAAAAAAAAAGAAAGATGTTAGTTATGCATGTTCACTATTAAGTTGATGACATTCCCCTCTTATTATTACTACCTTGATGACAGCATTTTCATAAAATACTTGGTAAATCCTTTTTATACATTTTTTTAAAAAGTTTACTTATTCCATGAGTAAGAAAAAGAGAAATACAGCACCGTGATCTACTTTCAGAATCAGCCAGCCTGGATCATGGGCATGTGTGCCACAATCTACCCTCAGCATCAGCCAGCCTGGATCATGGGTGTAGTCCAGGAGGTCCCTGGATGTGAACTGGTAACCTTCTTGCATGGACTGTCTTACAGGGCATCATATTTTAATGCTGTACCACCATCTGGCCCCATTTTTCTGCAGTCCTGATATGACCACATGACTATTCTTTGGCCAGTTAATTTGGCATATTCTAACTGATTGACCAAAATGCTGAACCAGTCTTGCATTCTTGCAATAAACACTACTTGGTCATGGTGTATAATTCTTTTTATATATTGATGAATTTCATTTGCTATTATTTTGTTGAGAATTTTTATGTCTATCAGGAGGGATGTTGGCCTGTCATTTCCCTTTTTTGTACTGTCACTGTCTGACTTTGTTACCAGTGTAATAATACTAGCTTCAAAAAAATCAACCGAAAATTGTTTCCTCTCTTTTAAAGTTCATGGAAGAGACTGTGCAGAATTGACATTCTTTAAACATTTGGTAAAATTCTCTAATAAACCCATCTGGGTCTGGAAATTTCGTTTTGGGGAGGTTTTAACCATGAATTCATTTTTTTCCTTCTCTTCTTTATCTCTCTCTCTTATTTTCACTATAGGGTACATATGCTCACCAGGGGGAAGGAAGGGGGGTTTGGGGGGTGGGAGGGAGAAAGGGCGAGAGGGAGGGAGGGAGAGGGGGAGAGGGGGAGAGCAGATATTTTTATTTTATTTAATAAAAATTTCCAGAGGGAAGGAGAGAGGGAGAGAGGGAGAGAGGGAGAAAGGGAGAGAGAGAGAGAGAGAGAGAGAGAGGAATCTCCCCCTGGAGGCAGGGTGGCCATGTGACAATCCCTTCAGGATTTCCCTGTGTATTTTCCAAGCCCGGTGTATCTTCCAAGTCGCCAGGTCTGGGACTTGAATGGCACAGCCAGCCATGTGGGATCCAGCAGCCTTAGCCACCAGGCCACCTGGTTGGCCCAAATTCATTTCTTTATTATTACAGAAAGATCCACTTCATATTCGGTGAGTTTGGTTATTTACTGGTTTTGAGAATCTGTCCATTTCATGTAGGTGATGGAATTTATGTACATAGAGCTATTTATATTCACTTATCTTTTTTTAAAAAGAATTATTTTATTCAACTTATGTATTTATTTATTTCAATTTTTCAGAGAGAAAGAAAAAGAAAGAGAGCAAGTGAGAAAGCAAGCCGCCACAATAGGCTTGAACCACAGTAGGCCATGTGGGAATCCAGCACCCTTAACCACCGTGCCACCTGCCAGCCCTCTCTTATCATCTTTTTTGAGCCTATATGGTATATAGAGATGTCCCTTCATGGTAACTTGTATTATCTTTCTTACTTTAAAATTTCGCCAAAGGATGAGTGCCTTCACCAGAAAACAAGAGAGAGGAAATAAAAATGCACCAACCCCTCGCCCCTCCACCATGGAGCATGGTCACAGTGCAATCCTTCCTCTAGCTCTCGTTCCTTTAAGGACTTTAAGCATACATGCACACATATCTGAGGTGTTTTTCAAGCCACTGGGTCTAGGATTTGAACTGTGCAGTTAGCATGTGGTATCTAGCTGTCTTAACCACCAGGCCATAGGCGAGTCTCTCGTCTTACTTTTTAATTATTTATTTCTTCTATGAGAGAGACAGACAGACACAGAAAGGCAGCCCAATATGGTCCTTATGCCATGATCCATGCCCAGCCAAGCAGCCTGGATCACAGGCATGCATGCATACACTCAGTATGTAAAGGGAGACCCCAGGATGTAAACCCGAGATCCTCTCGTGTGAGTCCAGTTACAATACCACTGTGTGACCACTTGGCCTTCTTCATTTTTTTAGTCACTCTCAGCAGAGGTCTGTCAATTTTATTGATTTTTTTCAAAGAGCCAAGCTTTCGTTTCACCGACTGTTCTCTATTGCCTTGTTTCCTGTTTCACTGATTTGGGCTCTGTATCATTTCTTTCCTTGCTTTGGGTTTATTTTACTCTTGTTTTTAAAATTTCTGAGACATTTCATCTTTTCTAAAGTAAGCTATAAATTTAATGCTGTAAATTTCTCTATCAGGGCCAGCAGGACTCCCACATAGGTGACTGTGGTTCGAGTCCTGGACCTGGCAGCTTGCTTTCTTACTTCCCCTCTCTCTGGTCCAATTAAAATTAAAAATGATAATAATAAAATAAATAATTATTTTTTTAAAATTCTCTTTCAGCACACTTTTGGCTGTGTATCCCAGAATTTCCATTCTGTTCAATGCATTATTCTGTTTTCCTTGAGACTTACTTTTTGACTCAGGTGTCCTTTAGAAGTGTGCCTTTTTGTATCCTAGTGTGAAGATTTTCCTGTTATCTTGCTGCCACTGATTAGCATTTGGTTTCATTATGGTCAGAGAACACACTGGATATTTTAACTCTTCTAAATTTGTTATGGATCATGGTATGGGAAGTGGCCTGTTTTGGTGGAGGCTCATCAGGTGCACGGAAAGGCCCTAGTTCTGTTGTCATCATGTGCAGTATTCTCTGTACTAGGTCCTGCTGGCTGGCACTTTTCAGTTCTTCCACGTCCTCCCTGGTTGCTCTATCTCTTGTGGAGAGAGAAATGTTAACATATCCAATTATGCTTTGGGTCTGCCTATTTCTCCTCTCAGCTGTACTAGCTTTTCTTCCCTCAGCACCACTATGTCTTCTGAGGGGCAGCGACACAGGGTGAGCTGCAGGTCACTCATTGGGAGAGGTAAGGGCCAGGGCTCAATCCTAGGAAGCCCTTTCCTCTTGTTCAATCCCTGGCAACCCAAGAGGATTCAGAGTTCTAAGCAAATGCAGACCACTCTCCCCAAGGGAAGCTCTCCCTGTAGTCCCATCCTGCTCTCAGACAGTTTAAGACAGAGACTGTACAGAAAACAAAGACAAAAACCAATGGATATTCTCAGACACTGCAACCTGAAAAACAAACAGGGAAAACCATTAAAGGAAAATAAAGAGTATTCAAAGAATGAAAACATTGAGGGGACTTAGCTGTTTAGTAACAAACTTTTTTTTTTTCTCTATAGGGTGTGTTTGTTCACCAGAGACAGAAGAGACAAAATGTGAGAAATCACCCCCTACCCAGGGAAGATGGCCACACCATAATCCTTTCTCTTCCATTCTCTTCTCGGGATTATGAGCACACATGCACACATGCCTGGTATGAGTTTTGAGCCACCAGATCCAGGACTTGAACTACAGTCAATCGTGTGGGAATCTAGCACCTTAACCACTATGCTACCTGTTGGCCTCCTTAATAAACTCTTTTTTTTCTTCTTGTTTTTTGGGGAGAGGTTTTCGCTATAGGGTGTGTGCGCTCTCCAGACAGACAGAGAGAGACATAGAGACAGAAAGCAAGAAATCACCCCCCAGGGGGGATGGTCACGCCGCAATTCCTTCTCCTCTATTCTCCTCTCGGGATCTTGGGCACGCACGCACACACATCCGGTGTGAGTTTTAAGCCACCGGGTCCAGGACGCGAACCGCGGTTGACTACGTGGGAGTCCAGTGACATAGCCATTACACTAACTGCTGGTTCCCATCCTTAATAAACTCTTGATAAAACTTCCCTAAGGGCAGAACAAAGAGGGGGATAAGGAGAGAAGAGACAAGAGAATTAGAGCTCCACCAGAAGATTCAACATGAGCATTACAGAAATTGAAGATACAGAGAAAGGAAAAAAATTACAGAGACAAGTCAAGGAGTTTCCCCAGAGCTCAGGAACATCAGGAGCCCAGCATGAAAGCTGCCACTATAACCCGCCAGGCTTATTGCTGGTGAAAGAAGGCCAGATGCAGGAGCAGTCTGTGACTGTTACCAGCAACAAGCATCCTGCAGAGATGTCATTTCAAACCTGGAATTCCAAAAAAGGCATCTTCAGATAATCATTAACCCCCTGATCCAAAGGTACGGGAAGAGAGGAAGACAGAAGAGCTACAAGGACCTAGGGAGATGGATCCCAGAAAGTGAACCTGAGAAACCACAGGGTGACGGATCAGCAATAGGGACAGTAGGCCGAACCTGAGATAGTCATGGAAGCTGGACTGAGGAGGGAGCATGGGCATGGTTCTTGAGGCCCATCCTTGGCTAGAGCACTCTGAGGGTAGCATTCTAGCAGCCCAGCAGAGCCCAGCCATACCCCATTCCCGGACAGACTCCACCGCTTCTCGGGCAAGACAGTGTGCACACTGCAAAGCCAACAAAGGTCAGGCAGCAGTGCCGGTTTTGGTAATGCCTATTAGCCTGTTCACAAACACCTGGGACAGGAACAGACACATGTCCCTTGGGTCACTGGGACCTGGACTTGGGAGTCTTAGTGAATATATGCAAAGAGCTCACCTTGGTCTGCTCGGAATTGGGCAGACAAGAATCAACTTCCTACAAGAACACACAACCCCCTTCTGACATAAGACATATTCTTCATGTTACCTTGGAGGCTGGAGCTTAGGTCGCCAAGGTCAGCAAATGGGTCCAGGCTCTGAGACTTGGTCCGGCTGGCCTGGGGGCCAGGAGGGGCCAGCTGACCTCCAGGAGAGAAGAGAGGGCCTGGAGAAGGGGACAGGGCTTTAGAAGAAGCACCTCTTGGAGTCACACACCCTCCCTGCTCTTCCTTCCTTGTAACCCTACCCAGGCCTTACTGTAAGCTCAGTCAGCATCTGCACAGCTTTGCAGAGACCCGGCCAGAGCACACAACATGCCAGTCCAGGCTCAATCACACACTCGATTCAGCTGTCTCCAGTGCCCCACACAGCTCAGGGAAATGATCAGGCCATTCATGTCAAGAACCAAATAAATGTTCATGCCATTCTGCTTTTGTAATACTGCTTCTTAGATCTAAAATGTGAATGTTCTTTATGATATCCTTTATAATAATATAAACTTGAGAATATTTAAGTATAACATAATGAAATAGTTAAATAATTATATAGCCAGTTAATGAAATATGAAATCATTAAAAATGATGGCTATTTATATTATAAAAAACTCTCAAAAGCCAATTATAAATTCTCTATGCAAAAAAATACAGAACATTAACTCTCAAAAGTGACAGAAATAGCTAAAAGCATGCAAAGTAATAGTTAATCTCATTCAAAACAAGGAAATGAAAATTAAAAGCACTGATTATCTATCAAGTTTGCAAAACATTTTGAAAGTTGTCACTCAATTTTGGCGACAAACCAAATGCAAGAACTGTTCCTGAGCAAATGAATCAATAAAATGAACTCCAAAAGGGCCACATGCCAAAGGCCTTATGATTATATCAGATGGGCGAATCACATCAGAAACGTCCCAGACAGAATCACGGGCGAATGAAGCAGACAGCTATTCACAAAGGCCAATGTGCCATGTAATCCATGTTCCCAAAAAAGCCTGGTGATACTGGCTGGGGCACAGATACATGGTAGGCAGTGTCATTCTTTCATGAGGGCTCTGCAGAAATGCAGAACAGCCAAGAGACACAGAAGCATGCTACGGTACATCACAATAAATGAACTGAGTAATAAGTAGTACCTAAGGTACACAATCACATTACAAAACATGTATTGCAGGGACCAGCAGTTGGCGTAATGGCTGTGTTGCTGGACTCCCATGTAGTCAATCGCGGTTCAAGTCCCGGACCCGGTGGCTTAAACTCACGCCGGGCGTGTGTGCGTATGTGCCCAGAATCCCGAGAGGAGAATGGAAGAGAAGGGATTGCGGCGTGGCCATCCCCCCTGGGGGGTGATTTCTTGCTTTCTGTCTCTCTGCCTCTCTCTGTCTGTCTGGCGAGCGCACGCGCCCTATAGCAAAAACCTCTCCAAAAAAAAGAAGAAAATAAACCATGTACTGCAGAAAAAGGGGAAAAGGATCACTCTGGAGCACAAAGCACTGGCCATTATTTGGGAGGGGCCAAGATAATGACATGTGGCCTTGTAAGCCTCTGTGTAATCCAATCAAGAAGGCACAAGCAAAAGTGTTGCAGCGGCACAAACAACCTTGCAGCTGACCAGGTGCATGGAAAGTGTAACGCAAACATGCCCCAGGCCTGCCTGCCTTTTCCAGGAAGAGGGGATCTAGTTACGTTATGTATAAAATGGAAATGGTATAAAGGCCACAGCAGGTGCCAGCGGGAGCCCAACTCATGCATCATACCTTCTGTGGCTGGCAAGGAGGCCGGCCCAGGCACAGCAGTCTCAGCCCAAGCATCCCATCCTCCCAGCAGATCCGGGTGGCTGGATGAGGCAGTCATCTTGCTGGGCTCCGCTGGCAGGTCTCCTGGGAAGAAGGTGCCAGAAGAGAGCATGATCACGGATGTCTGCCAGCCCCATTCCTCCCGGAGTGCGGCAGCACGTTGTGTTCACACGGGAATCCCCGTTTCTTCCTGCCTCTGTAAGAGCTGGGCTGTGCTCAGGCTCTCCCGATGGCAAACACCCTGAGTACACTGGGCCAGGACCAGTGGCCACATCATGTGACTGACTAGATATAAGGGAGGGGAGCAACAGGCAGGGAAGCTCACAGGACCACAATGAGAAGAAGAGTCCACAAATCTTTCACTGAAAGGGTCTTCGGGGATTCCTTGTCATTTATAGTTGCCTGTCCCAATCTCCAGAACCTACTCCTTGCCTCTCCTAAAATTCCCCTGAGCCCACAGCGACGGTAGACACTAACTTCCCTTCCCATACTGAGGACACATGGCCATACTGTTCGCCTCTTGAGCATGGCTGTACTCCATGCTGCTCGCCACAAGCCATCCCCACAATGTTAAGTTACCACCCCTGAGCCCACCATGGACCGTGCCATGCTGCTTCCTGCTCAGAAGATCAAGAAGAAAGAATGTGAGTTCCTTGCAGAGGATAACAGCCAGGGGACAGCCTGATGCCCGTCTCACCTAGGAGTGAGCCATGCCATGCCTAACACTTCCGGGACTCAACACTTCTCCATATAGACGCCCCAGCCTTTCATTCCTCCATGCTGCGCTCTCTCCGACACTGGCACCTTGGCATTCCTTGACC